ATCCCTAAAATTTTCCAAAATAAATCAAACAATTGGCCGACATCTAATCCTTGATTTACGCAATATTAACAATAAGATTACAATCATAAAAATAATAAAATCGATTATAACTAAAAAGATACAAGGAAGATAGTGATTACATCTAATATTGAACAAAATAAATGAATAAAGGTATATAAGAGAATTCATTGGTATCAAAATAATAAAACAATACTAATAATAATAATAATAAAGCATATGCTAACAATAATTGGAACACTGATAAAGATATCGGAATAATAACGGTGTTAAAATTTTAAAAGTATATGTATACTATGCACACACTCTCTTGCTGAATATGTTTTAGTCATCCTCGAGGCCAGAGTCGACTTCGTCATAGGAGGTCCAGTCTCCATCGAGGGGTTCACCTTCTTCAATTGCGTTTGCCCTTGGACCTAGTTCGCCTAGCTCGGCCTCGATGATTAGGTTCTGCAATTTAGATTCTTTCCTCAAGTAGTGGTACAAGGTGACCCAAGAACTTCCGTCTGGATTTTTATGATCCACCTGGATCCAAATCCTATCTTGCCCGACTGTGTCCCGGAGAAGATGGCAAGCTTCTACTGTCCATCGCCGACTTCTTCGGGGCCTTACGTTATAGAGGCCGCATAATAAGGCGACTCACGGAATGGTAGTAAAAGCCCTCGGGAGGTACAGAAGGCGGGAGATATGCGCCCACATTTGTGCACCTTTGTCCCCGAGGGTGATCCAGGCCCGGTCACGAATCCGATCGAGGATGGTGGCTCGACACCAGTGTCCTCCAACTCGTATGGCTCCTAGGCGTCCATACCGGATATCCTCGGGGTACATAGGCCGAATAGCACCTCCGACACGATCATAGTAGGTGCCGAGCAGGTTATTTATGAGTTGGGCCTTTTTCCGCAGCGTGTGTGGTTGTACCCAGGAGGTCGGTGAGGATATCGAGGAGACTACCCCTAGGAAATTTCCTCCCAAATCCGGGGTTTCTATCTCCTTAGCATGGACGGCGAAGTCACGGTGTTGTAAGTGAGCCATGGTGACTGTAAGAGTATTACATTTTAGAATCTGTTCAGAATGTTTGATTGGTTCCAATTGTCTACTACCCATTACATGCAATTTCAGTGTATAGAGGTGTATGTTCTAACTACTATTGGATTTAGAGATTTGGATGTGGTATTCGTACGTGTGCATATATGTACCTATGTATGTATATATATGTATATTTTAGTTGGAATTAAATGATCAGTCAGTTGTGAAAGTGTAACGAGATTTCGTTGGAGGTGTTACTACGACAGCGGTTGTTGTCTATCCCTATCTCTCTCTGACCTGTATGGGAGGTACAGAGGATCTGCCGGTGTTGGTACGATAGCCCTAGTGGCGCTTTGCCTACCTAGTGGCTCTGGCACTGCGTGCGACGCAACTACTAACGGCGCGGATGATATACAAAATGGCAATGACGCAAGTCTCTGCGAAGGATCACGATGGTCTCCGCAGAGCTTTTACAATCTTTCTACGCAGGTCTACGTGGAGTAGCAAGTGCTAGTATACCGTAGCCTCTCGACGCGATTCTGAATTTTTGACTATCCTTTCTATCGAGGTGGATCCCCGATGAACTTTCGTTTATCCTCTCTAGTGATTCCGATTTTTAGTTAACTGACTTGATTGATTTGAAATGTCGTATTTCACGTCATAAAGTGGGCTAGAGTCACTTCGGTTGGTCCGTCCTTGATCCTTCGGAGGTTCGGCTGTCTTATGATCGGCAGGTTCTTTCCGCTATGTCTCACTGTGTTTTGCTAGCTCTCGCTTTTCACGTTCAAAGGGGTTTCTTCGTTCCCTTTCCTCCTTTTTATACCCAGGAGTTCCGGATGTGTACGGAGTGCTAGGTTGCGGTACCAACTGTTTTAATTAAAGATAGATGAGCCTCGGATCCATTTTTTCACAGTTTGATCCTTTAATTCTATTACATGGAAATCCTCTTGGTATCCCTTATGTTGGCTTTCCTCTTCTCCAAAAAGTTCCCGGAATTTTTGTAGATTCCATCTATCGGGTTCCATGTCTGTATTATTTAGTTCAGTTATAGGACTAGAACTTCCTTCCCTATCCATTATATATCCTCCCTCTTCTTCTAACGGATCATTCACTTGTGATTCTATCTCATCTATTAACGGTTGTTCCTGGTGCTCAATTTGTCTCCTTTTACTCCTAGTTTGTATATTATAATCGGTAGGAATCATGCGTGAAGATCCAGAATCTGTAGCATGATTAGAATTGTAAGGAATGGATTCAGATTCAAAGTGGATTTGAGCCTGAGTTTCCGGGAAATGATCTCCTAAGATAGGATTCTCTTCACCTCCTATTGAAGACGAGGAATCATTTTCATTTGGCGATTCTCCTGAATCAGATTTTTCCAATAGTTTCTTTATATCCTCTATTTCCAGGTGCTTTGATTTAGTAACTGATTGACTTCGAGTCATAACAAAAATCTGATCTGGTTCTTTTAATACTGGATTCCTAGACAAAGCATCGGCATTCACATTCATTTTACCTGCTTTATAGACAACCTTGTCAATCATCAATCGCCAATCATATTCTGCTAACTTCAATCGCCAGCGAGCTATTCTTGAATTTACATTGGTCGCGCTTTTAAACCATTCTAATGGTTTATGATCAGTAACGAGGGTAAATTGGTGACCATAAAGGTACGGGCGAAAATGCTGAACAAAGTTTACTATTGCCAATGCTTCCTTTTCATAAGTATCGAATTTCTGCTCATTTTCCGTTAACGTTCGTGATGCATAAGCTATCGGTCGATCCTTACCAATAGGTCCTTGTGAAAGTATGGCACCTATTGCGTATCCTGATGCATCTGTTGTTAATATAAACGGCTGGGTAAAATCAGGATATTGTAATACTGGTGGATTGCATAACTTTTCTTTTAACATTTCAAATGCCGCCTGTTCCCTATCCGTCCAGATAAACGGCACATCATCCTTCAGTAATTTAGACAGAGGCTTAGCTATTTTTGAAAAACCCTCTACAAATCGTCTGTAATAACCTGCCAGCCCTAAAAACTGCCTGACATTTTTTACATTCTTTGGAATTGGAAATTCACGTACTGCTTCTAATTTTGAAGGATCCGGTTTCACACCCTTTTCACTGATAAGATGACCGAGGTACGCTACCTCTTT